TTAAAATAGATTAAAATTGATAGTCTATATACTCAACACGTAATTTATCCTATTATTTATTATATAAGATAATTATTTTGAACAGGTGTGAATTCTTTTAAAGTTTTATAATTTTAAGTTTTATTTGCAAAAATTTTTTTTATCGGAATATAAAAAGAGTGATTTGAGATATTCTGGATTTTGAAATAAATATTAAATTTTAGATATTATTTATTTGTGTTGATCTTTATATTTAAAACCGACTATTATTCTTTTTATTTGTAAAGATAAATAAAATTGAATGATATTAAATCTTTTCTATTAAGCATGTTTTATTTTATGTTAATATTACTTTAATTATTTTTTAATTTACAAATTCCTAATAAATAGCACATGATTTTAGTTATCATTTCGAAAGAAATGCTTTCGTCTCGAATTCCAAGTCGTTTTTCAATTGGGTAATTACCTCAGTTCCGGTTAGACACAGTTGTTAATATTAGGATCCAAAAGGCGAGATTTTATATATATTTAGAATCTACAGTATTTACTATAGTAACTTAAAACTCATTTACGAGTTTTAATAAAAAAATATTTTTTATCTCAATGTAGTAAAATTTAATTAAAAATTATATTTTATTAAAATTCATCATCTTGACGTGACAAGTTTAAATAAAAAAATTATCAAAACTCGTAATATCGACGTGACGAGTTTCATGTATATCATAAAAATGTCGTAGATCCTAAAATAAATAATTATTTACCATATTTTCACAAATAATTTACTTGTTTACCCTATTGAGCCAAAAAAAAGGGTAAATTACACGGGATACCACTAAATTATGATAAAAAATTAATGTGACCACCGAACTTTCAATTGAATCAATCAGACCGCCCAACTATTTAATTGATTCAATCAAACCATCGGACGTTAATTTTTAACAGAGGTGGTGATGTGTCCGTTAAGCTTAATTGTCATAATTATATGTTTGGTCCTTAATTTAAAATTCATAAATAAAACCTCTCAATCATATATTCATGTGTTACGTTTTAATTGGATAATTAAATTTATTTAATTAAATTAAAATAGTGACTAAACTGATAGAATATGTAAATATTAAGGACTAAATATTTAATTATGCCAATTAAGCTTAACGGACACGTCACCACCTCTGTTAAAAATTAACGATCGGTGGTTTGATTGAATCAATTAAATAGTTGAATGATCTGATTGATTCAATTAAAAATTCGATGATCACATTAATTTTTATCATAGTTTAATAGTCTCCTTGTAGTTTACCAAAAAAAACCCAGAAAGCAACTTAGGATCACCTTTTGTGCTTCAAGCTGAACTTTGAGGTGTTTAAGAAAGGTTGGTCCAGAGCTGGCTTGACCCAATAGCTTCTAAAAAATCTCACTGCAAATTGATAGCGCCTATGCTCATTAGCTCCTATCTTTAATTTTTGTTTCATTTTACTCCGTCGTTAAAAATTTAAGTTTTTATTTTATTTTAGTATCTATTTAAAATTTAACGTTAAATTTTAAAAAATTAAAAGTTTAGATACTATAAATGACAACCTTTATTTTTCAGGTAATGAACGCATTAAATTTTTAACAACTGAGTAATAAAATAAAATGAAAACTAAACGTTAGGTATAATTTTGAAAAAATTGAAAGTTTAAATACTAAAATAGAAAAAAAATGATATTTTAAGTACTAAATGTATAATTTACCCTATCATAACACCTGTCTTTATTTTTTTATTATTAATGTAGTTAAATATATGTTATCGATTTTTTTATGATAAAATGATTATTTAAATTAGTATTGATATATTTTAATGATATTTATCATTCAGAATTTTAATAATTCTATTTTATTAGTTTATATTTATAACTATTTAAAATTGTTGATCATGTTAAATTATAAATATAATCTAAATAACTTCTTGAACATATATTAGAGAAAAAGAAAATAAATTGAAATCCATTTATTTCAAATAATTCCTAAACAACAGTCAACTGTCTCTTCTTCCCCGAAATTCAACAATTTCCAAAATACCTGAAATCCGTCGAGTTTCGACCTGACTCGATCTTTTAGGTTTTTCTAAAAAAAAAAAGGGGATTGGGGCAAGACGGGACAAGTTATATGGTATATAATTTCAAGGCATGATGATTCAGGTTTAAGGTACTAAAATTGATCAAAACTGATAGTTTAAGTATTAAATGCATAGTTTACCCCTTAATTATATTATGCATTTCTCCTTTTCATTATGTTGTTGGATGGACTTAATATATCTGAAACTATAAAGAAATCCAAGAAGCACATTTAAGCCCATTTTCAGTGGGGTTTTGAAATTTTCTCCTCCTCTCCTCTCCTGCTTCGTTATCGTGAGTGGATTTATTTTTACCCTACAAGAGCCCTACTTTGTTTATGCAGGGATGACAATTTAACCTAAAATCATAAATGATATTATTCAATTCGATAAAATCGAATTTTTAAAAAATAAAGTTCAAACTAGATTAGGTTAGATTTTTATAGAGGATAAAGTCGAGTTGGGTTAAGTTCAAATTTATAATGAAAAATCTCCTATTCGAGTCAATATGAAATAATTTTTCTATAAATTTAAGGATAATTACTATAATATCTCCTCTCTATAATTTCTTTAGTTGGGTCATTATTTTACCAATAAACTACTTTTATATATATTTATGTCATATTGAATGTGAATTTATTTTTAAAAATTAGGTTGGATCGTGTTTAGGTAGAGGGAACATGTTCCTAGGGTCGGGTTGGGTCGGGTTAGAAGAACAATATGTGCTTCTAGCTTTATCAGGTTGGGTTGGTCCAAAATCTCACTCGTTACCATATAAAGTGGCGGATGCAAGGCTTGCCCAGAGTAGGCAGATGTCAACCCTTGAATTTAAATTTCTTTATATTAGTTGTTCATTTTACTATTGATGTCCACCCTAAAATTTTATTTATGCTTACTCATACGAAAAAATTCCATTAATTTGTTCTCATTCTCAAAAATATTTTCGCATTCGTCACTGATCATCTACATGGCTACAAATGGAACATGAAGCGTTAGTGATCTCCTAAAAATTTTAAATTTTTATATAATTTAAATATTTTCTTTATATTTTTATTAATAATTTATTTTTATTTCTTAAAATTTTATAAATTTACACTTTTATATAAAACCTTACCTACGTGATTAGGTTTTTTTCCCCTCAGATGATTTAAGATGGAAGTGCCCAATTCCAAATAGTCAGAATAGAGACAGATTTTCAATGTTAGAAGTTCATTACTTATTATTCTTGCTTTCTGACACTCATTGTCCTTAATTATACAAGTGTGAATAGGAAATATACTTATTGAAAAAAAGAATTAATCTAAATTATCTATTTTTACTCGTTTATTTTCTCCTCTAATACATTGATTTGTATCTTTAATCACTCGGTTTAAAAGAATTAACAGTAAAAAAATATAAATATCGAGATTTGAATTTACACAAGATGAGATGACATAAGTATCTTTAACCACTCGGTTTAAAAGATCTCTTCATTGAATTTTTTCCTTAAATGGATGAGTCCGACTTTATTTATGGCATAATATTAAAATTAGGCCCTAACATTTATTGAAACAATCATTTTAGTTCATATTTTATTTTTTGGATTACTTTGGTCATAACCATTTCATTTTAGGGTAAAAAGACCCTGACATTTGATCGAAAACATTTTAACTCAACGTTTCATTTTAGAGTAAAAATACCCTTATTTTGGAGAACGGTTTCCATCTAGTGAGGGGCCATTTTGTCATAAAATGAAATATTGTGGGCCAAAATACTCTAAAAAAGAATAAAGATTAAAAGTGACTATTTAATCGAACATCGACTTTAGGGTTTTTTTTCTTACTTTTAATCTTTATTCTAGTTATGATTATTTACATATATAAAATTTATGTGTATGACAAACAGACTTAATGTACAAGCAATGGTTATCTTTGATGCCATTAATGATGAAGTTCAAATATGAGAATCACCCCACCCCAAACACACAAGTTATTATGGTCTTTGATGTCAATATAAAAGAAAATGTTATTATTCTGTGCGGTTTTAAATTATCAATTGTATTTATATAATATGGGTTTCTTCTTAATAGATTTAAAAAATATAAATATATGCACGAATCAACTTATCTTAGTGGTTAAAGGAATTGTTGTTGATCTTAAGGGTTATGGGTTCGAGTATAAGTGACTGCTACAGGGTGATTGAGCGTTCAATGTTAAATGGTTGAGAGTATACTTGTAGTCACCTTGGCTTGATAAAAAAAATGAACATATATTTTATAGATTGAGTTTAAATGAATAAGGTTATATTCGTATTCATTTGTTTATTTTTTAAAGTATTAATGTTCGATTCGTGTTGATTTAATCTTTTAACATCCTATTTATCTTCGTGTATTTATTTTTAAAGATGTTTGTGTTCATTTATTTATTGTTTACGAACATGTTCACGGACATATTCATTTATATGTTCATAAGTGGTAAAACCATGCCACTAGTCCTTTATCTCCTTAGACTTCACAATTTGAATTTTAAAGTTCATCCCCTGATCAATTTAGTCTCTATCTTCATCAATATTTAAAATGTAAAAAAAAAAGACTAAAAGGAAAAGAACTTGGTAAACAAACTTATAAACGAGTCGATAAACAATCTTGTTCATGAACATAAATAAATTGAACACACATTCGTTCATGTTTGTTCGTTTATTAAATGAACATAAGAATTTTGTTCATAATCGTTTATTTAACTTAATAAACGAACATAAACGAATATTTATACGAACGATTCATCAAACCCTTTATTCATTTATACCTCTACTTGTAATAACCCTTACTATTTCATATATATATATATATATATATATATATTATCCTTTATCAGAACCATCACATATATTTTCTGTCCTAAAACTTGTCTTCCTATCAAATCTTCCAATTTTCTCTCCAACACATAGAAACATGGGAGAAAACATTGGTCATCTTCATCAAAACCATGCCGAAAAAGAAGTAGAAGAAGAAGAAGAAGCATTTTCTCTTCGTGACTTTCCCTTAGATTCATATGCCAAGAACAACCCGGGCCTAACTCGGAGATCATCATCCGAGTCAGCCCCTGAGTTCTTCGAGTTCCTCAGCGATCTCACCTACGACATGTGCCCGGCCGACGACATAATCTTCTGCGGCAAACTCATCCCGCTGAACCAACAACAACAAATTCCCTTCGAAGAAAACAAAATCAAGAACAACGTTCTACGCAAACGATCCGAGTCATTCTCCGAGTTACGCAGCGAATCTGCAACTCGCTCCGACAGCACCAAAGAGCACACCAAATGCCTCAGAAACAGCCGTTCGTTGGATTATAAAAAGCTCCGCCGTTATGACATGGAGAGGAACCCTTCGAAAAGAAGCGCCAGAAAATCCGACATCTCGGCGATGAAAGTTAATAAGCGGAGGTGGTATGTTTTGATGCTCGGAATGGTTAAGTTTCCGCCGGAAATGGAGCTTAAGGATATCAAAAGCCGGCAATTCCGTCGGAATCAATCGGTTATGTTTCCGAAGGTGGAAGATTACGGGAAGAAAGTTTCTGGTGACCGGACCTCCGGCAAGGGTTCTTCTTGGAGTTGTAGACACCCGTTTTGTCCGGGATATTATTATTATTATTATTATATTATTTTATTATTAATAATAATGTTAACGTTATTTATGTTATCATTTTGCAGGCCAAGGTACACCGAGCACAAATCAGACCCCAAATTACAAACAGTGCACGTCATCCATGTTGATTTCCAAGTTTGAGCATGTTACGAGCATATTTGGATGATTAAGTCTTCTTAAAATTTAATCCTCTATCTCTTATCTTTCCAACGCACTTTGAATCGTATCAATCCGATATCGGTAGCTCAAGATGATCAGATAACTGAAGACTGTGCAAGCTGGAAAATCAATACGGGAGTTACGAATTCAGTTCGATAAAACCTTTGTTGTTCTTTGCACATGCATTGGAAACGTTGGAACAGCACATATGAGCACTAAGGAGTGTCTAAACAGGCGGAAATTGGACATTAACAGCTTACAAGGATAATGCAACACGTAGGAGCACATGTGAGACATTTCCAGCTCATACACGGCAACAAGCACATGCGGGGGAAAGTTTATGTTGGGGCACACTCACAAAGCATAAACAGCACATTAAAATTATTAGAGAGAAAGGCAGCACGTGGGATACAAAACTAGTTGAATAAAATCAGTCCCGATGACTCATCTATCCACCCATGCTGTCCATGCCCCTCGTGAAGACCCCATGTTCCTGCAAAATACATTAGTATATTCAACACATGATGTGGGAGCAGCATTATTATGGGAGATAATAAAAAATTTCATCATCAGCAATGAGGCTCACGTTACCCCAAAACCGGGAAACAGTGTGAATGTCCACCAAGCACCTACCCGCGTTTGTCGGCCATTCAGGAAGCATTACCGCCGTCCACTTTGTTCGAGCCCATAACCTACAAAATTTGTTTTTGTTTTCAAAGGAGGGGGGGAATATAATACAGAGGACGGAAATTAACCAAGAAAAGGAAGGAGGTTCACGAGAGCAGGGAACCAGAAACCAACAGTGAGGAGTTCGACAACCAAAAATTAACGAGGAGGTTTCCCAACAATCATTCGAAGGGGGCTCTCAAACAAGGGACGAAAACAGTAAAAAACAAAGGAGGGTGGTCTCAATCTTTTCCTTCGAATTTACAGCAGAAAATCAATGTAAAGAGAAAAGAAAGTGCAATCCTTCATTGTATTAAAATCGGGAAAGCAATAGAAAACACGTTTTTGGGTTTGAGGTACTCTCTTTTGGTTTGTTTCCATTTTCCCGTTTTCTTTGTGTGTACTGGTCTTGTCTTCAAACCAAGGTAAATATGAAATAAAATCAGGAGAGGATTGTTTACCCGAGTCGTGCGTAGCAGGGGTTGGTGTCCGAGCGTTGAGATTTGTCGAGACCTTGCACATGGGTATGAGGTTTAGCTTTTAGATCGTGATTTCTAAATAGAGTGAGAATAAAGAGAGGTAGGGTGAAGATCGTTTACCTTTACGTTGAGTCACCGGGGCGTTGTGCATGGTGGCCGGATTTGGGATTTGGAGTCCCGTGGTTTGTGAATGGGGGAGATGAAAAAGAGAATATAGAGGGAGAGTAGAGAAGATGAGAGGAACGTCTGAGGGATAGGTTTAGTTTAAAGTAAGTTTTATATTAGGTTTTTAGGGTTAATTGCTTTAAGGTCACCACGCTTTTGCCCATATTTTCGTTTGGTCATGGAATCGAGTCCTGTTTGTTAGTAATTTGGACTTCATCTTTTATGCACATTTGATTTTAGTCTTGAATGCTAGTGTATGTGTTTCCTTTCGTTTGCACATTTGGTTTTCAAGTTTTTACATGTTATATTTTAATCCTTAAATCGATATTTTTGTATTTTTGATTTTAACTTCATGTTTTATCCGTATTTAATTTCAGCCCGATTGGTAATGTACTTAGGTTTGTTTCTCTAGACATTTTAACCTCTGAATGGTTGCATGTTTCGTTTAGTCCCTAGGTCGAAGTTTGCATGTTTCTAATTATGTCTTTTTATTTATGGTTCATTTAATTTTCGTCCTAGTGTTGATTTGTTTATTTTCTGTTGTTTAGATGTTGACCCTCATATCTTTGCATGTTGCATTTTAGTGCTGAATTAGTAATGTGTTCAGTTTCAGTTTGTTTAGACATATTGCTTTTATTTTGTACGTTTCGTTTTAGCCATTGTTTAATATTTTATGCTTAATTGTAGGTTTAATTTAGATTTATTTCGAGTATATGCATGTACATATTATTTTGAGCAGGTTGTTAGTATGTACTTGTTTAGGTGTAATGTTTTAAAGCATGTTAGCCTCATTTGTGACTTAACCTTGACTATATAATCGGATTAAGGGTAATACCCTTTTAATTTAAAACTATTGAAATGACTTCTCTTAACTTACTAGAGGGTCGTTTTGATGATTTTAAATTAAAAGTGTATTCCAACAGTGTCACCAAAAGGATTGATTAATCACTTTAAAATTTGGGAATGAAAGAAAAAGAAATGTTCGATTATTTAAATTATTTGAGAAAAGATCGTTAGAACTCAACTAAAGATCTGGTCTCGATATTTTTAAATAATCGAATATCCTTTATCTTTCTAATGGCTTGGTAATTTTAATATAACTTATTTCGTTGTTTTTGAATGTTACAAATTTGCATTTTGTTGTTTTAAGGGATCATAAATCAAACTAACTCTGAACTTGTGAAATTCGTTGCAAAGAAATTAATTAATCGACTAGGTACCGATTTAGGGCGTTGTGGGGGTGCTAATCCTTCCCCACGCGTAACCGACTCCCGAACTTGGATTTTGATAACGCAGACCTCTACTTGTCGTTTAATTAAAATTAATTTTTATTTAAAATGACAAAATGTTTTGGGTGCCCAATCACACCCTAATCAAAGATTGGTGGCGACTCCTCGAACCTTATTATTTTACCGTAACGGAATTTCCAATTTTTCGAAACGAGAGGTTTTCTAAAATTGCATTGTTTTTAATTGAAATTAAATCGTAAAGAGAACAATTAAAATGACGCGGTTTCCAAATCCCCCCACCGTTTAAAAATCGTTTCGACAGCTTGGCGACTCCGCTGGGGACTTTTAGAGAGTCAGGCCTATAGTCGATTAATTAATTGTCTTTGCAAACGAAAGTTGTAAGTTCACTTTAATTTGATTAATGATCCCTGATTTGTTTTAATTGTTGTTTGCATTTTAATTTGCGTTTTAATTAACAAATAAATAGTTGTACTAACGTGTGATTTACATGTTTCAGTTTTTTGGCCTTCACTTTAGTTTGTTGTGTTTCTTGGATCGAGGGAAAGGATTATAGGTTTCTCCTTTACAGTCGCAACACCATTTTGATATTTAGAGCCTTCTAATTGTGCTCTGTCCCGTTAAGTAGGGGTGAAAGCTACGCTTACGTGAGAAAAATTATTTTTCTCCGCACGGGCTTTAGCTAGTAACCTCTGGGGTACATGCTTTATGTCTACGAGAAAACATTGAGTTTTCTCGCATGGATATAGGGAAATGTATCTCTCGGATTGAACTTGATTGTTTTAAGCCTATAATGGGTGAGAATCGAGGGTCTGGCAAGCCCAAGGGGGCACCAGCAAAGGACAATTCGAGGACCCTTTTAGAAATACTGAAACTCTGCCCATCTTATGTTGAATTTCTGTCTGCAGACACGAAGGGGAAACTCATTCTAACCTTTTCCTCGAATTTATTTTTGCAATAAGTATGAGAACTAGAAAAGCATGCGGTTAGGTTTTATATTTTCGCACAAAACATGTGAATTAGATACCATGCGGTTAGGATCTTTTATGAATGACAAAACATGTGGGTAGATATCATGTCGGGTAGATCTACTAAAGCATGATTGGGTAGCCAGCATGTGAGGGTAGGTTTATGTGATGTTTACGGTATCCACTATCTTGTTGTTTATCTTATGTGTACTAACCCGTTTTCGTTCTATGTCTATTTTATTGTGATTTTATTGCATTTGCATCCTCATGTCATCGAGGGGTGTTAATTCACAAGTGATTGACTAACAAGAAGGCTGACCATATTGAGGCAAGAAATTCTCCACTATGTAGTCAAAACCAGGAGATCCAGAGATGTTCAAACGATCCATGAAGGACACCCGATGAACGAAGAGATCTGAAGCTGATGAAGAATTCCTTTAAAGCTGCAAAGGCCAAGATGTTGACTCAAGGGATAGATACAGTCATACCAAGGACGAGAAGACCCTTCATAACGACATGAAGACCACTTCACATTGGAGGTGAGAATGGAGATTTCAAGATTCAATTCGACGACATCAAAGGTGATGAAATACGCCAACAACTTTGGAGGTGCGATACCAGATCCCATGAAGAGTACGACTCAAGGAAATGAAGAGATGAAAAATTGCAGTTGTATTTTGACTACATGGTGTACTTACGAAATTCTTGTTGTCTAAGTGAACGGTTGTTCTTAAGTGGTCACTTTTGGGATTAACCTCGTGCATTTGCATTTGCATTTTGCATTTTCGCATTGCATGTATTAATTTAAGCATTTTTTACATGCATCAATCATGAAAATATGAGAGTAACTCGTGAATGATGTGGCAGAAGCTCTGAAAGCAAATTGAAGTTACCCCGAGACGTGTTTCTGGAAAGATAGAGAGCAATGAATGAGATATTAGAGCGAGTTAGTAGATCGAGAGAATTCAAGAACGGCTCGTAAGACCCAACAAGAAATGATTGATGAAGTAAGAAGTTCCAAGTTGAATCTAGGGAACAAATGTCCAAGTTGACGAGCATGATGATTACAGTGATATATGGGGGAGAAATCATCAGATGACCCTGTTACACAAGAAAAGATGAAGACTTCGGTGAGAATCTGAAGGTTAGCGCTGCAGCCAATGTGATGATAGCAAATGATCAAGAACCTGTTAGGGGATGTGGTAATTCAAGTCAACTCCAAAATCAAGTAAGATTCCAGAAGATGCTACGGAGATCATACTGGGAAAAGCAGAAGTTAAGGGTGAAACTTCTAATACGAAAGTGGAGCCGGACTCAAAGAAGAGAGGCATAGAGGATGTTCAATGCCAGTGAAGAAGGCCAAAAAGAATAGAAAGAAGAAGAAGGGGATGTCTCTGATTTCGATTCCGATCTCATATTCAGACTTGTTACCTTTTCTTTTTGAAAGTGGGCTCCTAAAGCCTTTTCCTCCGAGGTATAATA